AGTATTGATCTTGCATGCACCCGAAAATAAGTTCTTTCAAAAGACGACACCCTGAGGTAACTGGATCATTATAGATTTATGCTGCATCATGATTAGTTTCACAACACTACGAAACGTGAACGCATTTCGAAATTTTGGTTGAAATTTCATGAGTTAGCACATCTACTGTATGTAGCATGCATTTTTCTCATTGATTTTCGATGTCCTTAAAAATTAAATTATGTTTCATGGAAAACATGCTTAGAAATATTAATTCTTTTGCTCATTCGGTAGCAACTAAGTCTTATTCCAATTTTATATTCAAAGAAAGGGTATATTTTGGTTTTCAAAGACTTTTCCAATGCCCGAATAATCCTGAACCCGACCTGTCGTCACACTCGCATTCAAGGTTTCCAAACTACAAGCCGTTTATTTTCCGCGTGCGAAAAATATGTGGGGTTCATGAAATGTAGCAGTGGATTTGAGCCTTATTGCTATCTTTACAAGCCGCCCTGGTAAATGTAGAGACATGACGTCTTATGTACGGCCATTTCGCTGCATTAAAAACCTCACGATTAAAAACTTTTTAATGCCGAATTATACCCTTCCATCGAATATAAAGTTAGGAGAAGACGTCATTAGAGCAATGGCTGCGCTAAAGCCTTCCCCTTACCGCGTGGGTTCGAATCCCGCCGAGGCGCCGAGTTTTTTACAGTTGGGTCAATATGAGTTTTAAAATTCTATTAAGTCAGTCCTTTAAAAATGAAAACGTGTTTCGGAATTCCGATTGACATTTCGTGAGTTAGCCCACCTACCGTATGTGCCTGTCACAAAAACCGACGAAATAGGCGGGTTTGTTGACTTCAATACCCACATGGCGCAAATCATTTAAGTGGGGGTGTGGTCGTGATAACGTTGGAAAAGTTCCATTCTGTTGTTGGCATGTCCAGCATAGCCTTCTCATCACCGGCACCGTCGTCCGTCCCGACACACAGGAAAAATGAACGCAGTTTTACCCCCTTGTTTAACTTGCAGATGACTGAGATAATACGGGTTTGATGCGCTGGAGGTTTGACAAGGGAATAAGGAGTGTATCGGTCGCTCTCACGGTCGTAACCGCGGCCTCCTACCAATGCCACTTTCTGTGGGCCTAACACGCCTGCCAAACACTACCTGCGCGCATGAATCAATCTTTGACTCACCGACGTCGTGACGTCGGTCGACTTTTCTCTTTTCATCGATTGACCGCAGTCGGATGAAACCCAGGTAAACACACTCGTGCTGGGGCTTACAACTTAAACGGCCAACACAGCTCGTGAGAGCACTGGCTGCCGGTGCCTGCTGATCGGCTCGTACGCTCTCTTTCCGCGATAAATTTGTTCAATAATTTTGTCTGAGTTGTTTATCTGCGTACTTTGACAGTACGCCCTGCAATACAAGTGACCTTTCGTTAGCTTCCGGGCAGATTGAGGTTAGGGTTAAGGTTAGGCTTATAGTTGAGATTTGAGCTAGTGTTAGAGTTAAGTACCCTTCCTTGAATTTAACGCAAGACCACCTGTGTTAGGGGCATTCCTCCTCCCGTGTCTCACTGTGCTGGAGAAGCCCGTTATCGATGCATAAACCCGGACTGACTAAAATCTTCTTCCAAGATTGAAAATTCAACGCCAGCCCCTTATGCAACCTGAAGTAAGAAGGCTCGAGAGAAGTCAAATAAGCAAATATTTGCATGGCTGAATGCAGTTTGAATCTTAGCAGCAAAAGTGACACTAGCCTTTAAACCAAGTCACTTATGGAGGAGGGTGAAGCTGAAATCAAATGTAGGAAACGCTGCAACGCCATCCAGGACACGGACACGGAGGTGATTAATTGTTCACACCGGTAGTATCGAGATTGGCTTATGCACCACAACGAGGAAATCCGTTGCCTCCCCTCCAGGAAACAGAAGTTACACACAACCCATGCCATTGACAGGGTCGAGGTGTGCATCACTGCAGCCCTCCGAAACCGAGACCTAGTGCATGAGAGGCTGAGGCAAGCGCAAAATAACTGGAAGGTTCGCAAGGCAGAGGAGATCTAAGAATACGCTACCCATAATGATATTCGAAACGTCATTACAAGCATTGAGATGGGTTACGTCACTCAGCCCATTGCAAATACGTCGCAGGCCAGCCCAGACGCGCTATTCCACTGTCGGGGAAATGGCAGGTATTGGGACGTTTGGGCAGGCGCTTCAGGGGGTCCCAACCCCCATTTTTAATCTCAGAGGGAACTATCAGCAGACTGTCCCGAGTGGCAACTAATGCCATTCTAGATTCTGGTTCACTCTCAGGAGAGGAGAAGGACAGTTCAGGAGAGGTCCGTAGGCGAAATTCCGGCTTTGGATGGTTGCATAAGCGAAAACGATGTAGAGCGCATATCCTTCGGTTATACGGTTTGCCGAAGATCCACAAAGATGGCACATCGGCTCGTCCAATCCCCGATATGAGGAACTCGCCCTGCCATCGAATAGCAAAATGGCTAGCGGACATACTTCAGCCACTGCACCATCAGCTGACGCCACACAACCATCGGAATACCTTTGAATTCATTAACGGCATGAAAGACTTTGACCTAAACGGAATGGTAATATTTAGGCTAGACGCCTCGTCTCTTTTTACGAAGGTGCCGGTCACGGAGACCGTCGACTACTTCTGTGAATTCATTGCTTCCAATCAGCATAATATAGGAATCCCAGTGAATATCCTCAAGGAATTGGAGTTGAGGTGTACCTTTAACGTGCATTTCCTATTTGACAGCAATCTCCATAGACAGATGGACGGAGTTGCTATGGACTCTTCCCTTGACCCGCTTTTGACGAATATATTCACGGGCAAGCTAGAAGCTTTCCAGCTACGTCACCAGATCAACGGTCTGAGATACAATGAACGTGGATGGTGTCTTCTCAATTGCACCGAAGCATAAAGGACGTCTCAGTTCTACTGGATGATATAAATCAGGCATCACTTATCAATCAAATTCCCTCTAGACGAAGAACAGTCCGATTCGCTTCCCATTCTGGACGCGCTTCTGAGTGGAGGGCCTGACGGCAGTATCCGACATAGCGTCTGTTGTAAGAAGGCGTGGTCCGAGAAATACATAACTTTTGGGAATTTCGTACCACTAAACTTTTGAAAAGAAGGGTGACAAGAATCCGCTCAGTTTATAACATCGAGAAAGAGCTTACGATCATCGAAAGTCCTTTTTCGCCAGAACGGATACCCTGATTGATTCATGGCAAAGAACATGGCCGAAAGACCACCAAAGTCCCCGATACTGACGGCAGGAAAGGAAAGGCTTTTCACCAGGGTTCCATTTCAAGGAGACGCGCCAAGTGAACTTTTAAGAAGACGCCTAACTCAAGCTGTATCGCGGACCTTCCCAGCGGCTGACACCCGTGTACTGTTCTCCACTAGTCCCATCCTATACGGAGAGGACAAGGACATACTATCAGCTCAGACCACCTCTATGTGCAATTACTCCTTCACCTGCTCCTGTGGGGCAGAATGTATTGGTCGCACGAGCCGGTGTTAGTCCAAAAGAGTAAAAGAACACTCTCCAGCATGGTTAGGAAAGGGTCAGATAAAGAACATTGACAGTTTTCTCCTCGCGCACAGACCACCGTGTAGATGCCAGAAAGGCCTTCCGACCGGTTTACAAGGTTCCGTCAAGCCATGGAGAACTACTTGGGCAACGTCTGTTGGCTACGGCATAGGCGACTGCAATCAGGTTACTCAAATCGGTCCTGTGTGCATATGAAGACTTTATACAGGTCCGACAGTTGCCATGGGTCAAAGTCACCAAACCTGCCATCTGCATATGATCACTAGTCCAAGTGCCCATCTTCCTTCTGGCGTTGGCTGAAATTTTGGTCTTTCGCTCCCCGCCTCCCTAAAGCCCGAGCTACAGCATAATTATCTACTTGTCCGCATCGTTTATTCATTATTTCCACAACATAATGGATGTACAGTCCTGAAGAGAATTTGTCGAAAACAGACATGTGCTTGTTAAGTTGCCTTTTGAATTTGACTCAATTCCAGCAGAGTATTGTGAGGACTGTGGTCCGCAGCTTCTGTCCAGACTGACCTCCCCCTTTTCGGACGCCGCGGGGATGCGAAAAAGTATTGCATAATTCACAGCTACCATCATTGTTCGCTTCTCAAACGAGAAGGAAACGGTCGGGCTTGTGACGCTCACGGCGGAGGCTACCTCATAGGAGTTGCGGACAAGATAGTTATGTTCGTTCTTCGCAACCGGTTACAATTGCTTCAGGAACTGAGTCTTCTTCCATTATCCCCGTGTCGACTCTGGGGTAAGGTGAAACCAAAAACACCGTTTACGCTTCCCGAAAACCGCTGGAAAGACGGGAGAAATTAGAACAACCCTTTACACCAATTTTATCTATTCAACAAGACATTTTGACAGAGAGCACTGTGTTCGTACAATAAAAAAAACTTATGGAGTTGGGAGGTCCAGAATTACACAGAAAATGAGTCCGACCAGATGTCCCCGAGGTGGCAAATTTTGTAAAGCAGGTTTGTGTATACGCTCCTATCCTCTTTGCTCTTCTGTTCTTCGCTATGGTGATGCATACTTACCGTGATATGAGGTCCAGAACTGATATTACCACTTGGAAATTTCTCAGGCCAACATGAAATCTCCGAAGACAAGTGCGCGGACGACCGCGCATTTAAAATCATACCGGAAATGAACGTGCAGCCGCGGATGAACCTCTTCGCTTCAGGTTACTGGAACTTGGTGTTAATCATCTGCACAGAAAAGGTAGTAGTCACGTATCAGCCGGCGTCAACAAATAAACACAAGGAGCCCATGGTGAGCGTCAGTAGACCCTGCCTTGAAAGTATGATCAAATTTGAGTACCCGGACAGTATCAGATTGATAGACATTGAGATCGAGGACGACATTTCACGTCGGGTGTCCAAAACCAGCTTGGCTTTCAACTGGTCCTAAGACTCGATGTGAAATCACTGCACCATCGGTCTCAACATGAACCTGAGAATGTACATACCCGTTGTCCGGATAATGTTTTCAGGGGGGCAAAGACGTCGGCAGCGGACGAAAGCCTGTCAGAAAGAATAAATTTTTTAAGCTTCGGTCGCTTCCTACGCAATAGCACGGCAGCAAAGGCCTCCCTTTCCCAACTCCCTCTACACGCATGTAGAACCCCACTTAGAAAGTGGACAGGTCTTTTTGTCACACGCAAACACACATCAACAATCGGCAGACACCGCACATAGTCCGTGCATCAATCAGGTGATGCAACCTGGCAACGGTGTTTTGATGGATGAAACACTGTATGGCAGCATGTGCATGGCTTACTAAAGCGAGAACACCTTTTTGAAGTCTGGCCACACGAAGTAGAAGACCAGGTTGCGTTTTGTACGCGAAGACTAACTGCCCAACTTGATCATCGCCGCCTCCTGCCGCTTCGTCGGTATCTCGCAAGTGAAGCAAAAGCTACCTTTGCATAAACGTCTTGGAGTGGTAGTGGTCAACTTCTTTTCCGATAGGTAAACTATGGTGTTAAGCTAGTGCTGGCAAACTGTGTTAGTTGAAACCTTGACTTTAAATTTATGGGGAAATTGCCTGCTCAATTACTTCATCGATCGGCACCACGGGCGTCTGCACTTGACCGGTTCAGCCAGCAGTGGTTGTATGTCTACAGGTACCAGAGACCCGATGAATGATAATAACTGCTCATAATAAATTTCAGTTTCGACATACAGACAGAGAATATGATTCTCAGCTATATAATATCGTCTAAACAAATGTCATAATAAATCCAAAAAAGTTAGGTCATTGCCCAAATGTTGCCTCTAGTCTAGGAAATGCTTGCCGTCTTGTTTGAAATAAAGACATTATTTTCTCCGTCTGTTCGACTCGAATGTCACCTGATTGGCTGCGCTTGTAATGGACGTCCTTGGGTGAACGAATGTGCAACTGCACCGCACTATCTAATTAAATTAAGTTCCAAAAATAAAGTATTTCTATAGGTGCTTTCTTAGGCAAAATATAGTAAAGGAGATATATTTTAAGGTTGTCCACTGTTGAATAAATTCCAGACACCGTGAAATATATTTCGATAAAGTGCACATTTTCTCAACTGACAGAGCATACAGAGAAGGTTTTCGTTGAGTTTCTTGGGACGTTTATCTAGGTTTCATGCTTTCCGGGTTAGAACACGGGAACAAAACCTACATGTTGTACAAGTGGCCTTACGCTAAATTTCAGGGTGGTTAAGGTTAGGGTCACTGTTAAGACTAAGGCAAGGGTTACGATTAGAGTTGAAACACGGGAATAGGTACCCTTCGGCTTTATTTAATTTGTTTAAGATGTTGGAAACTGACTTTAGGTTGTTATCGCCCCTTTTTCCTTTCAAAACAGATTTTTTTCATGGCACCATGATAGTTTGTAATTTTCGGCATTTTCTAGCTAGCATGTTAGTGTGTGCAAAAGCGTCGCATTTCCGTTCAACGAAACATGTGAAGTAGGAGAGCCAGATTAGTGCAATTTTACTCAACCATTTTCTGTGTGGCCAGGGGGAAAATGCATTATCTAATTATGCGTTGGGGAAGGCAGAGCAACGGCTGAAAACGGTTAGCATCGGTTGGTTTATTTCACTTGATTTGGTTTTCGCCGTGGAACGTCCTTTAATGGTCAAAGGACTATAAGCAATCCTGACGTTTTGTCGGCTCCTGACTACTTCCCCTATTTTCCTTAAATTAGTGATCGGCTGTGACAGCAGCAATTCAGTTTCGACTTTCTATGAATACAATGATTTAAGGAAGTTACAGTGGCCGCGGAAATGTTTGCATAACGCGGCCATTTGGACTGGATTTAGATCGGGCTGGCAATGGTTTTCCGCCAGTGGAATTTGTCAATATTAAATGGTAGGAAAAAGACATATTAATATTTCCGGCAAAATGTTCTTTGGACAGACAAGAACTATCGAAAGCATTTAACTTCAGAAGGTCTATGTGGCATTTGGAATACACGATTTTCTAGGGAAATGATACAAAAGGGCTTTTGCTGGTTCAATGATTTCTTTGGGAGAAGCGTGCGTGGATTTTAACTTTCGACTATATAGGGCCTTCTCTATCAACATTGAATGAACTGTTCATAGAATTCCCATGCGTCCTGTGTAGACTGATCACCTTTAAGCGAAGGGCTTAATACACTGCATGAGCACGCGTCACAGGGCAATTTCGAAGGTTGTTTTTGACTGTCTTCAATACAGGAAATAAGTGGACCAAAATTGACCTATATTAGGACATTTGATTGCGTTTTGGCAGGTAATTTCAGGAAGACGGGCCCTTTAAAAATATACTTACATGCTGATTAGTAGACTTTGTGGGCTCGGCCTTTCCTTTGTGGCAGAATAAAGCCCTCTGTTTCGCACATTTCTTCCCGCCAAACAGACAGTTGTAGCTTGGAACAGAGCAATTTATAAAGTCACTCCCCTAACATGCTATGCTGTCAATCCACTTCTTACTAATCGCACAAATGTCTAAATAACTCACACATGACTAATGCCTCCAGAGTTCTCTACGTTGTCACAGAGCAGCTCCTAGCCTGAAATCCACCGCTCATAGGCTCAAAATTTCCGGATCATAGTTGGCATGATTAAGGTTGCACCCTAGTTAGGCGTGATCTAGATGTGTGTATAGAGATGACTAACTGACTGTAATTTGCGTCTACACGAGGTGCTTCGACGATAAGTCAGCCTCGTCACCAAGACCAGCAAGCATCTGGAAAAGAACGCGAGAGTGCTAAGAGGACGGCAGACAACGCTGGGAGCGTGTATGCGCCGACATAGAGTCTAATGAGATTTAAATGCCCGAAAATCGATATCCTGAGCTGACACACTGGTAACAACCCGCCTGACACACAATATCATGTGTTTGCTGGTTGCTCACCAGGCCCATCTGTTGGGTAGGTTTTCTCCAACAGATGCAATGAAACTAATCCAATTTAATTAGCATGGCCTATTCTGCGTGCGCAAATAGAGCGTGCACGTATTGGAGCAAAAAAGAACGGGTGCTCACAATGAGCGGCGTGCTGACCCAAACACAGATCAAACATTAGTGCTATAATGATATTTCTATTTTCGTTCTTAAGAAAATTTAATGACGTCGGGAAACTGATGCTAACCGTATTCAGCCGTTACTATGCCTTCAGCAACGCATAATTAGATTTCCTATATGGCCTAAACAAAAGGTCATCAGCCAGAAATCTTCCCTCCCCGACTAGAAGAGGGTCCGTGAGAAACCTGATTTACTATATCGTACAGGCAGTCGGAGGCAAATAAGTAATCTTTTATAGTTTACATTGCACTATCACAGAAAAACAGCGAAATTACTTCTGTGTTGCTGTATAAGTGTACATTCACTATTATCCAGGCCAGTAAACGTTGACTGAAAAATGTCATAAATATGCAAAACAAAGTTATATTATTTATGAATCAGTCCAAATTCATCTACGGAGGGAATGATCAAAACGCCTCCAGTTATCACGAGTTTGCTACATATTGCCCACCTCTGTGGGTTCAATGTTGAAAGAAACTCTGCAGATCCTTCAGAATTTGTCGGAAACTTGCGTGTTTTCTCAAGGTGTTTTACATTTTATTGTCTTTCATTTTATTAGTAATACATCAAATTTCCCAGGGGGTCACCAAGAGGAGACTTATCAAGTCTGAAGGAAAAAATACAACACTGAAAAGCGCGGCCGGACTTTATTGGAATAAATGTAATAAACGAGACGTTACGCTGAGACCAACCGTTTCCTATCGACATTTTACCTCTTTCCGTTATATGAGGCTGGGGATAATGCGAACCACTGGATGTCACGGTGCACATACAGTGCGTGGCCGATCTCATGAAATGTTGGCCGAAATTCTGAAATGCGTATTCGATTAGGAATGATTACTTAGGTGAGGTTGTAATAATGATAAGTATGCAGCAGAAGCTTATAGCATTTCGGACTCCCTAGGATGTCGGCTTTTGGAGGCACTCTTTTTTGACCTTCTGCAGAAACCGAACTTTGCGAAAAATGACTTCTTAAGCAGCATGCATTTTTCCTATTGATTTTCGATGGCCTTATAAATTCAAATATATTTTATAGAAAACATGCATAAAAATATGCTTTCTTTTACTCCTTTGGTAGAAAATCACATTTTTGATATTTTCTACCAAAAGGAAGTGTATATTTAGGTTTTAAAATTTTCCAAACCTCGAAAAATGTTGTGCCTGATGTGCCACTGCATAAGCGTTTTGCGATTTCAGTCTACAAGGTGCATGCTTTCCGCGTAAGGAGAATCATATATTTCTCTTTGCCTTTAAGAAGGTACCACATAGAGTCTTTAAAATTTCGCAATGGGTCCGGACTGTGTTGTGCATTTCATTAGAAACATTGGTAAACGGACATGTGCGGTCCTGTTTGCATGGACATCGCACGGTTTTAAAAATCTCATAATTAGGAACTTTCTAAAAGCCAAAATATGCACTTTCTTTGTGTATAAAATATCAACACAATGTGTTTTTCTACCAAAGTATTAAAAGAAAGCATATTTTTGTGCATGTTTTCTATAAAATATCGTTGAATATACAACATCATCGAAAATAAAAAGGAAAAGTGCATGCTACTTAAGTAGTCATTTTTTACAAAGTACGGTTTCTGCAGAAGGCCAAAAAGGAGTGCATCCAAAAGCCGACATTCTGGTGAGTCCGAAATGCTATAGGCTTATGTTGTATACTCATCATTATTACAACCCCACCTAGGTAATCCTTCCTAATGGAAGACGCATTTCAGAATTTCGGCCAACATTTCATGAGATAGGTCACGCATGGTATGTTTATAATTGTTTTCGGGCAATGCAGAAATTGGTCGTCTTCCGACAAGGTTTATGAGTTCGCCTGTGGTCGAGGTAAATTCGGAGACAACCTATGTCCAAAAAGCAACAGTTCCATCCCTTACAATACTGAAAAAAGACAACGTTGGGCAACTTAAATGTAAAAAGCTTCGAAGCTCCTCACCTAACGAAGTATTTCTACTGGAAGATTCCGTCGCTTTTCCAGGGACAAAAACAGTCGGATAAAATGCTTCAAGATAAAATAATGTTTCTTACTTTATTAGCAAATTTATAATAACACTAGATGCACAGACAGAGGAGGACAAGACTCTCGGTTAAATTGGCTGAGATGATTTTGCTGTCTGATAGGAGTTGTTGCGAATGAAGGCTTACATTCGAATTCAAGGTATACGTATGAGCAAGCACCGGAGCGCTTTGTTTATGTGACCGAACTTTCGAACTCGTGCTGGAGTCCATCGTCCGTGATAAAAGTGACAACAAAATAGGCGACTGTTATAGGGTGTATTTGCCAATCAACGATCAATGACGAGTTTCGGAGTGGCGGCTCAGGACTCTACATGTCGGCGCCAGATCGATACATCGATTGACTGGGTTCTCATCCTGGCCTAGGTTTCAATCAACTCTTGGCTAGTTTTGTTTCCGAAGTGGGCCATTATCTTGGCGGATGAGAGGATTTCTCTTTTACTCAGCGATCGGCATTTCTGGCTATGGCTTTCAACATGCACATTTTGCCGAAGTTAGAAAAGGCTGTATTTTCAGGTTCAATAGGCGTGTCTAAGTTATGGTTTCCGAGAAATAAATGCATACTAAAAATGACTGTAAATACTTCCAGAATATGCTCAGTCAGATCACGACCACGCCAGTTTTCGGTACTGTCTTGATCCGCCCGATTGACGTAGGCGTGTCAGGGATTAGCTTACGAGTTACCTATCCAACTCCAACGTATGTCCTTGATTGTTGAAGCTGCAGCACAGGTTAACACATGCTTGTGTCCGATCTGCTCTCTGGTCATGGAGTAAAGTGCCAGTGTCGGACTGGTATGGTCGAAAACACAGAGATTCCGAAATCAGAAGTTAGGGAAGATGGATAACTTTAACTGCTGAAGAAGCGCGTACACAAAGGCTCTGCAAGCAGTCGCCGCGACAGGTCTCTCCAGGCAAGCTGCGTTGTGTTCGCCTTTGAGGTGCAAATGTAAGCGGCCTTACCGTGCTAAGTGCCGAAGCCCTCCTATTCAACCTCCAATAAGAACGCAAGGTAGTGACCTAAGGGGAAGATTAGGGGTTATTTAGAACGACGGGAGGAGGGGTTGGAGTTCAGACAGAGTAGAAAACACAAGGAGGTCTGCATCTGCGTCTGCATCCCTACTTCTAGACCTCAGTGCGGGTGTCCGACTTTCGCTCTGCATCAGCGGCCGCCAACCACTCAGAGGAAGGGGCAGTGTTGATAGGCTTCGAGCACTCGCGAGGCTACAGAAAAGCCTCGCGCGCCCCGGCAGCGGATCTACAGGAGGTGAGAGCGGGCAGGAGGACGGTATGACAAAGCGGCGGAGAGCAAGGAGGCGCGGACTGCCACAACAGTACGCAAACCTTGCACTTTCTGTCGTGCGTGCGAACCCTACCCATACTTTCGAGTTTAGCCCAGTTGGGTAAGAGGAATTACGCAAATCTGCCAAAAGACCTAAAAAAGTGAAAGGGACACTGTGGACCTGACTGTTACCCGTCCATGCTCTCTGTCAAAACACATGGCGGCAGCTAAATTGCAGTATCTATTTTTGTCTTATTTCCTCGCCGAAAATTACTTAATTTACATTTACCGTCACGCTACAGGAAATATTATTGGGATGGCTTCGAAATTATAAATTATAGACGCACTACTGCACATAACAATTTAATCTTCTCACTTGTAGAGCATGTTTGAAAATTCATCCAGACTTGAAGTGAGCTATAAAGAACAATGCATAAAACGTCAGTAAATAAAATGCGGAAGGAAGTAAAAGAAAATGAAATCCTCCTCTTCATCCACTTTTTTATAGAAACTATGTGTTTAGCATACCGAAGTTGGATAGTTGGAGGTGATCAAGCTCACCAGTGTCCGCTAGGTATAGTGGTGCCTATTGTATGAATCCGCGTATATTGAGAGGAACTTACGCGACGTCGACGTTACTTCCGTTGCCGCGTTTAACGTGTGTCAGTGGTGGGTCAAAGTCTAAGTATCTGGCCATAGTTGATGAGGCAGTGGCCTGCATTGCTGTCGCACAAGACCTTGTCTCCAGACTTCAAAACAGGAGATCGGTCCCGGGTCTCGCCTGAACGAGAACATCATAAAAACCACGTCAAAATGAGCCAGGATGTTCGCTTTTTATTCAGGAGGCAATCGTATTTTTGTCAGCTGGCAGCTATCAAAGTGTGTGATAAATTAAGTTGTTTACTTGCTTTTAGCGAGGGACTAATGCATGGGATACAGGGGTAGCCGAATTCTCTCTCTTAATACATCTATACCTGTAGCAAGTCCGTGGTGGGACTGGACAATGTTTCAGGTGGGGTTAAGCCCATTATCTACCCAGGCCACACATTAAGGTCTTCAACTCAACATGCTCCAGGTCTCAGTGACGGGGTCTTGCATCTTACACAAATGAGAGGTCCTCTGAGGTCACACTGAGGACTGAACCTTGGCACTGAGTAAGACAGCGTTATCCCGTCCGTTTTCAGTTTTAAAGTTGGCGATTGTTAACTTGTCTTGAGGGTTTAGGTGCGCGTTTCGTTGTTCACAGTGAGGAGCCTTAGTGTTCAGCCGGAGGTGGAGCTACTCACTCTTTTTTCCGTCGCCCGTATCCCACTGAACTGTCCAAATTTGTCAACTGACGAGAGATGAGATTGGCGTTGATTTATTTCGAGAACTCGCTAGGCTACTAACAAGCCACGCGCATCCCAACAGCAGTCTTTCAAGCGTAAAAGGTCGTAAACACCGGTTCTGGATAATTCCGCGTCAACCTGCATAGGCCCCTCCCCATGACATGCACCCACCACCTCGACACGCAGACAAGACACACCAGCGTAGGTGTACACAGAAGACGCCTAACTTAAGTTCAATGCTCACTCTGCCAACTGCAGCTTCGCTGATCAGGTTCTCCGATTTGAGTTACCATTTTCGTCCTTCCCTCTATGAGCTTTGTCCACTTCAATGAAGAAGCTTTACCATTTCATACCAACGAATTGTATTCGTCGCTCATTTGTGCTACTTGAAGATGCTCTCAGCATGACAATATTTCATGTTTTTTGAGAGAAAATTTATGCATGGACCTATTACCGACTTTATCGACCAGTAAAAATGAAATGTCACCTGTCTCGGTCTACACAGTTCGAAAGGTTTTTTGCTGGTCATTTTCCTCCGTTAAAAATAAAGACAAGTTTCTTGTCTGTATGGCCCCGTACCACAGGTACCCATGAGATAAATTCCAGGAGGTTCGGGTTGTGAAAGTTAGTATTAGGGTCAGGATAGGGGAGTTGGGATTGTGGTTAAAGTAAGTGTTAGGAGGGTAAGGGTTATAAGTATTAGTGGTAATGTTAGGTGAGTTAGGGTAAAGGTCAGGGTCAAAATTAGGACACGGGCATAAGTACCCACGCTGGAATTCAGGGTAAGGCCACCTACGGTACGCGCGATCCTTATTCATGTGTCCAAACTTTTTCTGTCAAGTCCATATACAATAAACTGTTTGTTTTCCACCTCCTGACATCTGGTATCTCGCGGGACGGGGCATTACCGAGGGCGATTACAGTCTACCAGGTACCATTGGTCACCACAAATGGGTGATCAGGGTCTTCTGGTGAGGGAAAAAGTACTTCCTGCCGTTTCATCGCTAAAACTTGTTCCTGTTAGTCTACTGTGCACATGGATACGCGATAATCTGACTAGGAGGGCATTGACTGACCGAAACGGCCACTAAATTAAAGGTTGGTGTAGTTTTGCGGGGGAGCAGGTATGGCCATCTTATCGCCTGAGCCCCAACGACAATATTCTCCGCATGGCGTTTTCAGGAATAACCGGAAGTTCAGGCCTACTGCAAGGCTTTTTCTGTAATCATATGTCCTTAGTTCATTCAAATAGTGCTAAGAGGGTCGAGCATTGTAGTTTGGACTACTGCTACTGGGGCGATAGTAAGACTTACTCTCGTAATTCACTTCCATCCAGTCGGACCGCTGTTTCAAAGCTCAGCGCAGACTCTGGTTTCGAAGGCCAGTGCAGTCATTACCAAGAATAACTAATAGAAACAACGCAGCCCCTTATGCCTCGATGAGCATGGGTTCCGTTGGCCTAATATTTGGTCAGCGCGGAATTACTTCTGTTATGAACGTACGCTAGACACTCCGTGGGTTTTGGTCATAATCGGCGTTTCAGTCGCCGTTCGAAGTTCTGGTTGACCTGAAGGGCAGCTGGCCCATCAATAAATTGACCAACCCTTGAGGCCATCGCACTTGAACTTCAACCGGTGCATCAATTCCACCACCATTTTCCCCATCTAATATTCTCCTTACTCCTCGAGTCTCAGAAAAGTTCCGCGTTTACTGGATTCCCCGTTGTTGATTGGAGCTTCGTGCGCAAGGTCACTCATTGCACAAACACCACGGACAGGGTTGGCCTCGTGACTTCGTCCCGAATCAGTGGAAGATGGCTAAGACAAGCATGAACGGCTGCGATATACAAGCGACTGCTGGACATCCCAACATGACAGCCGGCTATCTTGCGGCAACCGTTAAGCGGTGAATTCAGTATGTCCGATCTGTATCCGGTTCGGCACATTCAGGATCTCAGTACTGCTGCATGGAAGATTTGTTCTCTAAATCGGTATGGTTCATGCCCACCGGCAAATACGGCTGGAGTCATATCCAAAGCCGTCAACGCCAATCTTCGGGTTAGTAGACTTCGTCCGCATGCCCTTTGGCTTGAAGCATGCTGCCTAAGATTCCCAATGACTCATTAATCAAGTTCTACGTGGTTTAGAGTGCAACTTCACCGAAGTTTATAACCTACCCAACACAAGACACGTCTTGGAAAACTGTCTGGACGGTCTGACTTCAACCGCAAAACCTGCCAAATGTAACTTCGAAGACCTCAGTTCCTCAAGGAATGCCTAGCCCTTCATCTCCGAACCCACAATTCCTCCCGTTGACACCTGGCGTCGGTGTTTACAGGAAGCGATATTCTCCTTGTGCAAACAATGTGATATCAGGTCTCTGCAATCCATCCCACCCTTAATTTCAAGCAACAGTAAAATTTACTAATTGCCGATTCGCCTGAATTACTATCAACCAAGATGTGCGACGCTGAACCCACTCCTGTCTCCCTCATCTGCGTTGTAACGTTGATCGTCACATAAACTCGCCTGTAGGCACTTCCACCAGGAATGGTGCGTATTTCGGCCAAACGCACCTACACCTGACTGTCTTCTGGTGGTGGAGTTTATTTGCTAACCTGCACCGACTAACCCTCACGACTGCCTGGTGCTGGTTGCCACTGTTATGACCGAACACGGTTCGCAATTCCAATCAGCATCCTTCAAACACTCAACCTCTTGGCTTGGGGCCGAGCAGACCCCTACGACGGCATGCCATCCTCAGACTTACTGGTTAAACATTCCCACAGACGTCTAAAGACGACCTTGGCGTCTTGACTCGAACAATCTCAACTTAACTCGACAATCTTCCGCCGTTCAGTCATCGAAATCGACATCGGTGACACTGCAGTCGGACTGGTGCACGGAACTCCCCTACGACCCCTGGCTTGTTGCTCAGTAGTAATAGGCTCGCTAACTACTTTCCCGGACTCGAACATACGTCAAATGCACGAAGCGCCCACTAGTGCGTCACTAGCCGGTGTCTTCAGTCCTCGTAGCCTTAATACCTGCGAACGACTGATGTTCCCCCGAAATGCCGTCCGTCAGCCATTAGGACCCATTTTTGAGTGGCCCTTTGACGGTGTAACAGATATATTGAAAACCATCGGTTGGGTAAGGTTGACATTGGCCATGTTGACCCGGAAACAATCAAAGGCAAACCAGCACAGACCCCACGCACTGAACCAATGGTAAATCAGGCGGAGACGATGGTACCGCCAGGAATTACTGCCAATAAGTTACCTCCAATTCACCGCACAATACCTGAACTGTCTGCTCGACAGCAAAGGGCTGAAGGTAACACTTAGAGAAGGCGATAAAGAATACAAATACCCAATAAAGTCATTTACATTAGTGGTCTTCGCCAGGGAAGGGCGGCAAAGAGACTGTACACACAGGGGGCACGATAACAGTTTAGGAAGAGGAGGAGGATAAAGGCACAAGTTGAAGTGGTTACCACAATCTCAGAAGGCAGCCAGCAAGCAATAATGGTTTTCAGGGCGTTATACACAGCCGACTGGAGCTGGGGAAGGAAGAGAGTAGATGGGGGATACAGGTGCAACAGAAGGGAGGAGAGTGCAAAGTACATCGGTAAATAATTCAATGGGTGTAGGAGTCAGATCACCGGTGTGGCGGAACTGTGGCCCGCGTAGACGACCGCACCAACAATGTTCACAAAGCCGGCTAGAATGAAAACCGGAAACCAACGGCCGTTTGACTGAACTACCAAGTGAGCTGTCAGCGGACCACAGAGAATTCCGGGTATTGTGGCCTGGGAGACGAAAGTGCAATCAACAGATGTAATCATAAACAAGCCTACAAAAGTTTGTACTTAAATAGGATTCGGTAGCACCTTCAAGTTTAGCAACAATTTTGACATCATACGCATCAGGTGGGAGGCAAGGCCACTCCCACTCTCAGATTAAAAAAAAGTGAATTACAGAAAAATTCTGGTCAATCGTCTTCCTATCATAATTAATAGTAGTCCGGCAACCACAGAATTATTTCCAAAATACGCCTTCCAGAAAACGTGTCTTTCATGCTAAAGATGTAGCGGTCATTCATGTTATTCATTTATGTGACACACCGTATGCATCTGAGGAGAAAGTCATCCAGAAGAGAGGACCTTCATCAAGGCTGAGTGCCACCGGATGAGATTTGACCAAAAACGACAACTCGCTCTTACGGATGACTTAGAAAACAACGCTGAAACTTTTACGGCCCAAAAACAAACCGATTTGAACTGGTGTTTTGTCAGAACTACATATACACCTGGGAGCGTCATTGAATATGATAGAAAGACCGCGGTCGGCCAATTACGTACTGGACGAAAAATCTTGTATTCGTGTTACTGACTACACCCGGACTGCATGCTCGCCAGGACCTAAATCTTGAGGCAGCATGGTGCCGAATGCCGGGCCGCCTGCAAGCTGCAAGTCTAACTGCAGGGAAGACATAGGGTGAAACGACGTCAAATAAGCTAAACATAACTTCGCTGGACAAGACTAAAGGCGGGAGACAACTGGCTTGTAGGATGAATAACAAGTTGAATCAAATTCAGCCTATGGAAGATTATGATATCAAGAAAAAATAGAACGGATTCAAGACGCAAAATGCGTTGTCTCTGGGACAAGAGCTCCTGACAGAGACGCGGTGCGGATTCCATAAACACCGTGGACATGCCGACTGCATCTTGGGCGTCGACAACTGCAAGTGAAGTACCAAGAAATACTGTCAGACCTCTATTCTATCTTAGTCAACCTCTTAAAAGCCTTCCACATGGCGAACAAAAATGGACAATGGATTATTATAATTTTGGTGGCTAGGAAAATTATCACTGATGGTTAAGGCAACTCCAGCACACTATGCGTGTCCGTCTTATCTACAACGGATTAATTCAGTTGTCCCCACCAAAAAATGAGTGAAGTCGAGTTGAGTCCTCACCCCACATTCCTTTGGCTTTATCCTCTCAGGGATATCAATGAAAGTTTACTGGGATAAGCGCCTTGGCATCTACGCCTACAGAGAAGACGGTTCTCAGCATAAACGTCTCTACAAAACTCGCCAAAGACAAGGGCATGGCCTTCGCTTTCTGACGACAGTCCGTTCAATTATCACTGCGAATTACCGGCGTCTCGCAGGTGCGGATAATTTGTAATTCCTGCGAAGCACCATCTCGTGTATTACCATTGACGATGAAATTACAGCTTTATCTAAAAATCAAGCCAAGCTTTGGGAAGGCTGTAATCTCCCGTTTGGAATTGTTGTGGCACTCTTAGCAAGAAGTGAATTATGCAAGGTAATGCCGTCCGGCAATGCTAAATTATGAAATGAGACCAGGACAGTCTATCGAGACCAAGTGGAGGATCACGACCGTTTCCATATAATCTACTCTAGAATTATTTGGAAGGCAGTAGCAGGAAGAAATCCTGACAACCACGTCCTGAAATATACTGGCATTTTTTGACGCTTAAACAGATTCAGCTCCGGCGAGACAATCGTGTAGTGGAAGTGACTAATTAAGGCCTCCAAAACGACTTTTCTTCGGCGAAATCGTTACAGCCATTCGTTGATGAGGGACAAAAGATGTCATACGGACGTTCAGTGGACCTCGCCCCCGCCCTCAGAATTAATCAGGCGACCTGGGAAACTCATGAATGCTCATCAGACGAAAATGGGGCAGCAGTCTTTGAAGCCAGTCAAATACAGGAGGTCAAGAAGATGCCGCAGACAAACAAGGGGTCGTCGGCCACTCAGTCAGCGAGTCGAGAGAGTTCTGTCAAAAGTAAATTTCCCTCATGCAATATAAGAGCTCAGTGTTAACAAAGAAGCACAACACCTTGGAAGTCGAAGATGCTGAGATATTCAACCTGTCCGCTAACAAAGATTGGCCAACAGTCGTTCTAGACAGGGTAGACTACCGGAGCAAGCCGCACACACACCCTGTGATTTAAACGATCTGTTAGTCTCAAAGATTAACAAGAATCTGATATAGGCAAAAACCGTGAAACCATCATCAATAAAGACCCCTGTGTGGTAAAACCCGCGAAGGGAGCTATGGCAGGTCTTACGGTCCTCCAAAAATCGGCAAACCACATGTCCCTCTGCGACAGACTTCGACAGTAAGTGACGAGGCTCAGGACGGGATGGCGAAAATTCGATTGATTCGTAGGAGGTATGTGAGATCTTATTTCTGGCTATTAGGCTGGTATAACATAAGAAGTCCTTTACTCAGCGTACTTTTCCGAGCTATTTTACTACAGAATAACGGCATATTGTGGCTAAATACCCACGCTACATCATACTAGGGTAGTTTCCTGGGCTAATAAGAGTCGCAGGTAAGACGAGTAATTGGGAGCATTTCGCTACTAGAAAGTATTAATTTAAGTGGGAAAAGCCTGTGTCAGGCATCTTCTGAAACTCGAAGGCCTAATTTTCTGTCTGCGCACATCAGGTGGGACCAGGTATGGAAAACTAGCCCGTTTTAAGAAACGAGTAATGTTCTCTCACTTTGACAATTTTGACTGGCAATTCCGTGCAATTTCGCGCCATAACACGCAGTGTTTATCTGAGCAGGCAATAATTAGTTTCGAGAGGCCGACAAAAACAAGGCAGATTTTGGGTTACCATTTCGGCGTATTAGTCGTCGTCAGGTAGTCATACCCAACCACAGACTTTCAGGACCTCGGGTTCGAGTCAGGATTCAGATATTGAGCGTTCTTTGAGTCCAAGGCTATATCACTGAGCCACGGAACTGTTTACTCTTCGACTGTAGTCGGAGATATTAACTGTTGTTGGAAGGGCGTTCACCGATCAGGTTATGGACATGCTCGCCCTCCTACTCCTTGAGGCGTAACCTAGAGCCCTCACAGGCAGGCAATTAATATTGACAACGCCGTAAATTGATGTGAACAGAGTCTAAATTCTCAACGGCAACAAGTCATCTATCGCCTGCCGGCTATAGTACATTTCAAGGAAATGCAAGTGTGTTGATGAAATCCATTTTAAACGCGGACCAGGATGCACGACCAACTCGGGGTACACAGGTTGGAGCAGAGTTCCCGGGCAGCATCCCATGGTGCCCAAATTCGCTTTGAGATCAATTTCAGCGCAATCGAGATCGTGAGGCGAAGTTTCGGCTATCCAACAAGACAGGAGACGGTAGTTGCTACGGTCTACGCGGCCTTGCGCAACCACATGGCAGGACCTCAGGTGACTAAAATGCCCGGATGGCAAATATGGGTAGTAATGGTCAGTTCGCGGCCTATAAATACGACCTACTAGACGCCCAAAGTGGCGAGCCTCAAAGAGAGGTTCCATAATGCGGATGGTACCCTGGGTTGGACCGTATCTGATGAGTCATAATTGCTTTTTAAATGTCAGATATCTAACAAAGTAGCTCGATGAACGCTGATCCTTCTGACTCGGACTGCTAAAGATGACCATACAAGTGTAATTTTCATACCAATTTTTTAAAGAAGTTGCGTCCTCTTTAAATTTTAAAAGGCAATATTTCGGTCTTGAATGAATATGTAGCTGAGGAAACTGCTGACACGTCTACAAGGGTATTTTTGTAGGTTAAAATTCGAAGCGACATGCTGCAGATCTATCGTAATAATTTACATGCGTTGAACGGGAAGATAAATGCGACGCTGCTTCTATAGAATGATCGTACTATGTAGTTTGGCGACTCTCGGAACAAACGTGCGGACGTTTCAAAATATACGTAAGTAAATGAACACAGTTTGAAAGGAAGGGACTACCAGGAAAATGGTGTAGAAAGTCAAAGTCCCGCGAATCTTTTCTAGAAAATGTAACCAGATTCACAAAAGCATTGAAATCGATAGAAAAAAAAGGCAGACGATGCTTAAAGTAGGGGTTTGTCGTCGAGTTAAACTGGCAAAAGTCATTCGAACGGTGTTCAGCTAACAGGTAGGCCACTAGGTAAGTTGAGATTAAGTCCCCTGATGACCAGCATTGCAAGCTCGCTTAAGTAATCTCTTCTATTCTTAGAAGTATCTAAATATTCCGTATTATGAGCTCCGACACCTGCAGTAGGTGGTGGCTACAGCTGGCGGCCAAGATTCTCACTCAACGCTTGGTCCTCATAAAATAAGCGAGGTGAGAAGACGTACCAAAGTGTTGCTGATCGCAAATGTAATTCCTGCGTTGTTTGGCGCGACTTCAGCGTGGCTACTCAGATGGCCTGCGGAGTTGCAAGCCGAAAGACCCATTGACAGTGAAATCAAACTGCGGGAAAGGATATAACAATAATTCCTTTGAAGTCAGAAAATAATGAATTGAGATGCGAGATGTTGCCTGCACTGCTATCAACACACGCAGACAACTGTCAGAAAATAACTGAATTGTAACTCAGATAACTGATTTCGGTGTGTCCCTTCAAGTTTGTACGGCAATGAAAAGTTGCCGTGATGCGATTTATCTCGTATTTTTGTATCTTTAACGCAAACCTCGCTGACCTACATCCAGTTAGTCAATGCTCAAGGTCAGAAAATGAGGGCATAGTATACTCAGCAGTAGTACCATTAACTGGGAGTGAAGTCCAGCGCCACGAGAGACATAAATAGTCTTCTCCAAGTTGTTTCTTTTTGAGTTGTGTTCTAAAGTTCAGAACCGGAAGCTGATTGGGGGATCGTTTGTAATTCAGTCCGAACGAGACATCAAGCACCACGCTATCGAAAGCCGGCCAAGGGAAATCTCTACGAGTTGCTAAGCATGAATGTGTTTGACCAGACACGCCCCTGAACACTGAGTTAGAGTCGACGCCGGCAAAGTGCAAGTCCGAACGTAGACAGCGTTATTGCACTTCGCAAATAATGCATTACACGGCTTAGACGTAATGGGCCGTCAGAAATGCCGAAATTAATATAAGAAGTCCTTGACACCTAGCACCATGAGAATTTCATACCATGCGCGGCAGCAGATTTACATGCGTTCGTGAGCGCTGCTGTTTAGGTCCGCTGCCGATACATGACCACACCGGCTGTCCTGCAGCCACCATTGAGGATTCAACTCGAACGGATATTGACGCTAAGTGTGCATTGCTGGGCCAGTTAAGCAACTCCATGGTGGTCGCACGCTCCTTTCAGTGCTCACATCCAACCGTTCTTATGCGGCCATATCCTTTCAGCATCCTCTCTTTCATCTGCGATCTGCATGGGGTGGATAGCAACCGGCATGAGGACGCAATGGTCTCGAGTTGTGACTCGTTTTTAGTGTGTTTTATAATGTTTCAAAAAAGATCTAAACTATTCGACCCCCAAAGTTGGACTAACGTCGAGCCTGCGGAAAGAAGTGAGCTACTTTGAATGTGTTTTTTTTCGAAATTCGGTACTGCACCCTTTGAATAAACTAGGACAAATAACTTCTGCAAAATATGGCTGCACCATGGGTAAAAAACCTACTTAAAACAACTAAAAGTTTGCTTAGAGAGGAAAATAAAAATTATTCGGACTTACAACACCGCCACGGGGATGCTACTTGATGCGGAAAAAACAAAGAGTAGAAGACCAGGTCCAACAAGTCCAATGCATGTCATCAACCGACGTACACAAAGGACGCCCCATCTACGACGGACAAGATTGTCTGCAAAGTGGCCGGAAGCTACAAGGTATTGAGGAAAAATACTAAGAGCCAAAGAACAGATTATCTGAGACTCGTTGCCCGAAGCTACAGGAGTCCGGTAGGTATACAGAATCTGCATGACAGCAAGCATTAACGGGAGGTAGTTCAGTATTCCTCTTTTGATGTTCATAAATAACGCAGGCGTTGAAGTTCAGAAATCAGGGATAAAAGTACAAACCGGAAAGAAAATGATTACGCTCTTCTTAGTGGATGATTAAGTACCCAAGGATGTAGGCATTTGAACGTATCCATTGGGTAAGGCTAGAACACTAGGCATCTTTAAATGAGCCGCACAGTTTAGCGAAAAAAGCCAAGTACACAAGATTTCTTGGTCAAGATTACCCATTTCTAGGGACGCCATGATTGTCTATGACATGAAAACGACACAACAACTTGTGGTGTCTGGCAACTTGTGCCTTCGGACTGTCGCGGTTCTTTCGACTTATCGTGTTTCATGGATAGGGGAACGACCATATGTTGAGGCACCGTACTATGCGATTTCACCAGGCATCCTCGTCCCTTAAAGGAGTGTTGTTTGAGGGCATGATAAGCAGAGCAGGCATTCAAAGTGAAAATTGAAAATGTGTCTATCAAAACACATCAGCTACTAAAAAGTATTGTCTCTGAAGAAGTGTTACTCACCAATGCCGCAAAGAGAATTTGCAACATAGGGCAGGGCAGTTAGCATAATTTCTGTCGGTCCGCCACCCAGGAACCGAACGAGATAGGTTGGCAACCATTGCATTATGATGTAGTTAGACCAGTTCATACTAAAATGGGCACAATATATCGCCCAGAGAGGACGTCTGGTGAAGCATTCCCGCCACGGAGTCGACTGTCCAGAGACCTGTGGGGCGAAGACATTCAAGTGCACGGCAATAGATTTATGGGACAAGGTGCAAGTAAAAACAGAAAACAGAGCTCTTAGTGTTACCTACGCAATTACCAAGACTGCAGTTTTTCATTATGTGTAGGGCAGATACTAACGTTAGGAGGTGGTGCAAAGTACTCCTGAGCGTCTAGTCCGCATTCTCCAACGGAATTTGTAAATAGGATCCAGACTGCAACCCAGATGAGACCGGTCCCGCCAAATATGAAGAATACCAACGGCCAGTAGAGATGAGGACAGATAAGACCGGCTACTGTCTGGCCGATAGATCCCATCGCAATAAGGTAGCTGAAAGCCCGGCCGCGCTCCTCAGGTGAGACCGCATAAGCGAAAATGTGGAAAATGGTCGGAAGACCTAAATAGAATAAAACTTTGAGTCAAGTCTTGTTTTGCTTCCGCTTGAGACATTTTATGAAGAATGAGGGGAGGGAAGGGCAGTTTATTCTGAGGTGAAACGGTTGTCGTGGGCAATCGAACCGCGTGGCAGGTTTTATTTGCCAGATTTGCGATGCGTGCAAATGGCCTTTTCATCGACCCCGATGTCTTTAGCTATGAGGGGCTCAGATATGGTCTCAAAGGAGGGAAGCAACTTCGGCCAATCAGTAAAAAGGCAAAAGTGACAGATCTGCCGGCGCTGGGTCAAAATCCCAAATCCACAAAAGAAGAAAAACTACAAATGATTGAATTTCAGCCCATGAGATCCCTTGTCATGTCTGCCGATGCGGAGTGGGGTACAAAGGGGTAAGTTGATAGTGATTTAACAGTAGAATGTAGGTTTCTTAGAATCCGGTTCTAATCTTAACCCTCATAAGCAGAACGCGAAAAACAAACAACTCACCAGAGATACTAAAGACCCGTCGCCAACAAAACATCGAAGATCCCTATTTTTAAATCTGAAATCTTGGAGTTGATGCTGCATGCAAATCACCGACTGTGTAGGTTTACGAGATCTAACAAACGATAATTTCACTCGGGACCGAGTTGGAAGTGGGCCAAATCTAGACTTGCGGCACACAGACAAACCGGTATATAAACCTTACCCATAAAATATCATCTTATGCCATAGGACTAAAGTGCAACCTAGTACACAGGTGACGATATCGCTTATAGGTCCAAAGAAGACCGACATAAATATATCTTCGATAAATACCCATCCAGCCTGTACAACTGTATAGCAAGTTACTAACTGGGTACAAAGTGCAAAGGGGGCTTGGGTAGTTCTTCAAGTCCTCTCGTAACACCTAAAACTTTCTTAACAGACACATCAAAGTAGCTATTAACACCTAAATCCTGCTACGATTTCAACGTCGATATTAGCCGGCTATACAGCCGTATAGGTCCGGGAGTTTCTCGAAAACATGCTTGTCTGACATTCTTTTGGAATTATTAATGACAGTCATGCGCCAAAGACTAGTAATAACAATTTAACAGTCGCGGGCAATGACGACCACCACTCGACCCACGGAATGAGCTCAGTGCCGGTAACTTGAGCACGAGGTGTTTTATAATGACACAGACTTGTGGAACATCTACCGCACTCCCCATCCCCTCAGTCGTCCTGCTCCAACAGCACGACCAAGTCCAGACGACCGCAGGTAGATGCGGTGCAGTAGCTGACGAAGCTAAATAGCTTGTCTGCGTGTGAAACACAACTTGGTCCCCACTACATGTACTTGGCTTCTGTAAAGGCGGTTCGGATTTCACACGCGAGAGTTCCATAAGGACACATAAAGGAGCCAGTGCGGCCTGACTCTCAGTCCTCTGATCGCTCCGAAATACTTCCATGACGATCGAGTTAGCCTGCCAGTTGACAGCCTTCCCTGCCACGACTCCTGGCTAGTCATTGTATTTTCAGACGCGTAAAATTTATTCAAGTGAGTGATGTGATTAAGTGCCTTGAGAAGTGATTCTCTAGACTCGATAAAAGAGGAAAACCCTTATCCTCCACTTCGCACAGCAACAATCCTCAACACTGTTTCGCCTTTTCAGGATACGCAGTACAAAATGTAAATCCCGTAATTTTCCCTATAACCGGGCCGTGGGCGACCGCGACTCCTACATGATCGAATACATGCGCGTGCTCAAGGCTCGGCTGGTGGGGCGACCGAAACCAACGGAAACTGGACCCAGGTTTAAGACGCAGGTTCTCTGGTTAGTGCCTTCGGAACTGCAAGCCGACGGGAAAAGAAAGCGATAAATAGCCATCCCAGTCTCCTTTCGCCTTCCCGACAAAAGGTCTTAACTGTACTGTTACCAAGCTCACGAATAATTTTTAGCTGGCTGAATACTTAAGCTATGGATGTAACTCGTCGAGTCCCCCCCTCCCCCGCCTCAATTCGGACTGTTTGTTTTCAGTTCCACGATTATGTTGGACTATAGCTACTATAATACCGGGCGTATTACTGGGTTTGATTTACGATTCAGGCAGCCCGATATGGCATTTTCCCCTGCTCGTCAATCAAAAATGATGAGCAGCCGGCAGTTATATACAGGAACACGTAGTAGAGCGTGATTGACGAGAATGACGAAAGGTAAAACGAAATGAGACACTAAAAGTTAGCTTGTACAGAAAACCTCGTCAATCAAACCTCAAGCAAAAAGTCTGGTGAGACATAAAATGATGTTCTATTGCGTATACGTCGTCAGGGAACCTATTTTGTCAAATAAAACCATATGTGGTGGGCGACCATTAGAATTACGCAAAACCCTCTGGCACAAGATTAACTGGAGGAAACGGCTTACCTATGCCCTCGCCGACACCAAGAAGGAACCGAAAGAATATCATAACCAGCCACGATGACGCGAAATATGGTGTAAAAAATGCTGAAATAGACCACAAGAAGACCGCAAGAGTAAGGACACGCTTGCCACCATACTTCTTGGCAGCACTTCCGCCAGCGATCTACTTAGACGTAATGAGTCGTTCTTATACCATGTTACCAGACTGCTTAAATATCCAACGGAAAAACTGCTAAGGATCCAACCTTGAGTATGCATATCCCAGTTGAATTCGTCGGCCATGGATATGATAGTAATGGGCATGAGAACTCGGTCGGCTGAATTAATGAAATTCGCTATGCAGCATAGTATTATTATCTTTAGTGGAATGTTTACAGGGTTCATAAATCCATTGTAAGCACCACGGTAACGTTGCCACCCTGGAAGACCCATTCCAACCAGACTAGTTGCTAATAGAAGGAATTTGCGGACTGTTTCCGTCGGCTATCATACAATTGGCCGAACATTCTCAAGAGATCTGCAATAGCTTCTACCACTCTTCTTGCGTTTACGTCTTGCAAAATTATGTTTTAGATATATTTCCAGTCGCCGAGTGACCCGAAGGAGGCCATTTAGAAACTCGATCGAGTAAGAAATATTAAAGGTAGGTGTATTCTTAGACAACCGGCTACTATAACATGGCAAGATGTACAGAAAGTTTGAGCGAATTACGGCAGCGTTCCTTATAATGGACCACATTTGCGAATTTTTGATGAGCGAAAATGTCGAAACAGTCGGAATTTTTGAGGAGAAGGGCTTTATGGACTTTCGCAGGTTGATTCATCGTCCTCAAATGTGTTGGCTTAGTTACTACCCCCTAACAGTTACGCTGTAGTGCTAAAATACACAGTGAAGCTGAGTGCACGCATTAGGAGTCTAATGCAAAGACGGTTCATAAACTTGCTTTGAAGAGCTGATGTTCAGATTGAGAGAATATCAGAAGGTTTGTTAGAATATTGTTAGCCGTTTTAATAATTGCAGACAGTTCGCTAAAACTGTGAATTTTTCGTCTGCTAACTTCTAGTGGACAATCTGGCAACGCAAGCCGGTTAGATAGGGCAATAAGGATTTACCTGTCATCTGACCTGCTAAACTAGAGAACTGTAGGGCAAACGGTCGATATTGACGATGTTCAGTTGGAAATGTCATCAATGAAACGCCATTTGATACGCCATTTTCATGGTGATTATAAGATTCCTTTGATTTTTAGCATGCTGTATTTGCAAATTTATTTATTTTTAACTATTCAACAGTGTTCGTATACGCTCTTGAGTTTTTGGGTTGCGAGGTCCACTAGATAGTATCCGCATCTGTTTCGGGTAGCCCATCGCTTTCATTGTCTCATTGTCAGACAGTTAATCTCGTTTCACAAACCATAGTGTTTGTCCAACATGCAAGACAATGAGTTACGCATTAATTCGTCTGAATGAATAGATTTCTTCATCTTAACCTGCCTCTGTAGAAAATGTAGTCCGGCGGAGATAAAATGGGAATCAAGGACCCTGTATTGAATCCGTTTACTTTTTCAAAAATTTACTTGAACATATATTTTTTGTTTCCTATGAAAGTAACCTCAAGGGTACTCAATGAAACGATATAGTTGTCCGTTTACCTACATTATCCTCCTTCCGGGTAGGAAAATCCAAGGCCTTCGAAACGTCTCTGGGTGCAGTGGTGAAGGGCGTTTTAATATTGTGCCGGACGGATAACGAGGATGTAACCCAGAACAACACTAGACCTCACCTGTAAAGTAAAGCTCTCGCCGACATATTCTGGAGAATTCGGATGGCAGTATTTTGATGCCTTTAAGTTTCAACGGGTTTCAGATATCACAAGGCATTCAACAGGCTGAAGAAGGCACGAGGCAGAAAAAATAACGCCTCAATAAATCAAATGAAATCAAATCCGGTGACCGTGTTCAGAGGATCTTACTGCATTTCACGGTCAACCAAACCAATTACTTCAGGCAGACATGGAAGTTAAGGTCCTGAAAGCATTCCCCATAGGAAAGAGGAGTGAAGACAGGACAGCAGCATTTAGACCTCGTCCCCTGAAAAATATGCCGGAGAATAAACAGCAAATCAAGTTGATCCTCCCCCAAAAAACAGACCTCAGAAACACACAGAAACAGGTTTTTTTCATCTGGACTACTCACCAGCGGAACGGCTGAAACGCCGGGAACTCGTCTTGGAGTTAAAATCAAGACTGAAGGGAGACGAACGCAATATGGCTATCTTCATGAGGAAGGTAGTTCGGAAATAGATGCCGTTTCAGTGGAACCAGCCAGTAGTCCAAGGTACGACGGCAGCCACTCAGCTAACGCAGTCATCATCAAATAGATTTCAATTGGTTTATTATAGCACCTCTTGGGCACTGTCAGTCTTCGCTAAACACATGAAAACACCTAAACCAAACTCATAAATTTCAGCTGCACTTTGACTTCATTTCTTTTGGGTGTCAGCTTAGTAAAAAGTGCGCGAATCGAGTTTGTTTTAAGCTAATAAACCTAACTTCTATGGCAAAATAATAGAAAAATCAGAAAAAAGTACAGCATATACGATAAAGAGATTGATGTTTGCAGTTTGGTAGTTTTTGGAGTCGTAAATATATTGTGCTTCGGGGAAAATTAAAGATCGTCTTCTAGTTGTCTATTATCAGTTTATTTGGGAAGTCGCTTGGAGTTGGTCGTATCATGGGATTCAGTTCAGTTCAGTTTATTGAGGGAAGTAGGCGTAACTCATTGAGTACTTTATTTCCAACGTAAAAAATGTGTAGCATACAGAAAAATGTTCTGGGCTGAATTATTTTAAAAGAACCCTTAATGGTAGTACACAATCGGATAGGGGGTCAGCTCGACGTCTCATCGCTCTTGGCCATTTCGGAACATAAATATGTCAATATTATTTTTAAAACTTTGCATTGATGGTGACATCACAACATCTGCGGGAAGGGCATTCCATGGTTTGACCACTCGAACAGGGAAGGAGAACTTCCGCACATCCAACCTTGCCTGCTGAGTGTGCAGTTCTAACGGTTGACCTCAGAGGTTGGTCGTGGTGGCAAATTCTAAAAAGCCCTCGATGGCCAGACTGCAATCCGGTCCCTTCACAATACGGAAGGCTTTCAAGAGATCCCTCCGAAGTTGCATGTAACTCAAAGGAAAGAGGTTCAGATTTGCTAGGCAAGTTGCATAAGGAAAGGAGCTTTGACCCCTAACCATCTTCGTGGCTCTCCTCTGGACTCTTTCGAGGCAGTTTTGATCCTAAACCGCCCACGGCCTCCAGGCTTGTATTCCTTAGTCTAAATGCGGCCGGGCGAATGTTCCGAATGTCTTCGAGAAAGCAGTTTCGTCAAAGTCCATAAACGCACACTTGATGGCATACAGTACGGACATTGCGTTTTTTGCCTATCTTGAACAATGGGCGACTGCGTTTAGGGAACTCGTCGTCGGCAGACCAAGATCTTTTTGGGCTTCAACCTCTTGTAGAGCTGCACCACCCAGAAAGTAGTCTCTTGTGCTGGCGGATCTGGCTGTGTTGCCTAGACGAAGTATGCTACATTTGTCAGCGTTGAACCGCAGGAGCCAATGGTTTGACTACTCCTTCACCCGATTTAGGCTCACTTGCAGTCTGTCTTCGTAGGCAGTACTTCGAATTTCTCTCCATATCTTCATGTCATCGGCAAACATTGCTGCTTCGCCGTCTAAAGCTCTTGCGGCATCGTCCACGTATATATAGAACAAAATGGGTCGCAGTACTGAACCCTGGGGGATATCACTCTCGACCATAGCAGGATCTGATTTCCCTTGACGGATGCACACAATCAGGCGTCGACCCAAAAGGAAGTCTGCGATTCATTTAAAGAAGTTGCCTCTGATTCCTAATTTTTCAGTTTGTGTAAGTCTCTGGTGTGGCAGAGTGTCAAACGCCTTCTGGAAGTCGATGAAGGCTGTGTGAGCCGCGTGCCTGTCGTCGAGAGCTAGAGTCCAGCTCTGAGAGATTGCAGCACGTTTGTCGTGCGGGGTCTTCCTTTCCGGAATCCATATTGACATTTCTATAGCAGGCCTTGAGCTTCCAGGAACTGCATCAGTTCATTCTTTATGGTCCTTTCCATAACTTTGCAGAAGATACATGTTAAGCTTATGGGCCTGTAGTTTGTCGTCGCTGCCCTGCTACCTCCTTTGTATTGCGGAGTAATATGCGCCAGCTTCCAGTCGATAGGAAGCTTGGTTGGAATATCGTCTGATCCTGGCGACTTCGATTAGTTCAGTGCCCCTAATGCTCTTCAGACAATGCCTTCTGAGAAGAGTATATCACTGATGCGTGGGGTTGGAAGTTCTTCTGTGGAGGAAGGCAGGAACCTTGCCTCGTTTGTGTAGACTGATAGAAAGAACTGTGAAAAATACGCAGCTTTATCCCTACTATCAGCAATCTCAACGCCATCTATAGTCCTTCTTAAGGGGATTTGATGCCTGGTCCTTGTACTTCGTCTGAGGTATCTGTAGAGTAATTTTGGGTTCAGAGTTGCTTTTAGTAGCAATTTCTTCAGTCTTAATTTCAACTCCAAAACTAGTTCCCGGCGTTTCAGTCGTTCCGCTGGTGAGTAGTCCAGATAAAAAAACCTGTTTCTGTGTGCTCTTTATACTGCCGCATATTTTTGAGAGGACGAGGTGGTAGTGCTGCTGTCCTGTCTTCACTCCTCTTTCCTATGGGAATGCTTTCAGGCCCTTTACTTCCATGTCTACAGGAGTAACTGATTTATAAGACGATGAAAAGAAGCAAGGTCGTCCAAGACACGGTCTTCTGGTCTGACTGCATTCGATTCAAACAAGCTCTGAATTACCAGCCACTGCTTACCATCATAATCCTCCTTACTTCGTCTTTCCGGTGAATTCGCTGCATGTGGGCGAGGACGATTTACGAAGTCGTCGCTTGGACGCACACTTTTGCCTTTAAATATTGGCCTTTCCAACTTGCTATCGTAATTATCGACCGCTTGCCGTTCAATTCAGCAGTTATGTAGGTTAAATGATTGGCACATCTTCATTGCCATATCTAACCGGATGGCGTTTCTGGACTGACCACTGGGAGCCAAAAGACGTGAGAAATCTAACGTTGGGCAAACTGCGTGAAAATTTTGAAACGAATGTCTGTATAATAACTGTACTCACAATACCATCTATGCTTACCAACTAACCAAATAACTAACCAAATACCTAACTAACTAACTATACTAACTAAGTA